TAAATTAATGGGAAAAGCGAGCGACCGATTTCATTCTCGGTATCATTTTGCATTTGAGAACGGTCAATCAAATTAATATCATTTCCTTTTGTTTGGGAAAGAGAGACACTGGCAGCGGTCCACTCTACCCATGATTATGGGTTTTGGTCAAATAAATATGTAGTTTATCTGATAGCTGTAGATTTGTTTATCTCACAACTTTTGGATAAACATGATGATATTGTTTAAAAATAAAAAACTGATTTCTGTAATTTTGAACCATTTACATTTGACTAGCTAACTTGAACATCCGGTTATTAAATGCACTTTTACCCCATACGTCATAGATACGTCATACATAAGTATAGGTGGTAATATTGTAATAATTGTATTAGAGTTTAATGAGACTATTCATCAGACTCCTCCTGGAATCCCTTATCAAATACATTGACTAGGGGAGTATCACTTTAAAGCTTTACTGCAGCTGCAATTAATAGTATAAGTAACCAAAGAGAAGTATTCAGGTATAATATACCCGTCACAGTAAGTAATACTGGGGGATTTACCATTGTTATTACCCTATCACGTTATCAGTGGATCGGAGTTGAATTTCATTCATTCATCGCTTATTCAAATTATCATTCAGCTTCACTGCGTTTCATTTATGTTGCAGTGTGTATTATCTCTCATTTTTGATGTTTGCAAAATTCTAAAAATTGGAATTATAATTCCTAACGAGCTAAAAGCTCTGGAGAACAGCCATTCATACCCTAACTTTTGAAATATTTTCACTATGAGCTGAAATTCTTTAAACATTCACACCGCAACCTTTACAATTACAGCCTGATTGTTATTGTTATTCACCTTCTGAATCAGAAGTATGAAGAAGTTGCATCATGCCAGCATCGTATCATCTAATCAGCTAATTGAAAGGAATTTAAACTTTCATAAAACCTAGCTCAGTGCTCCAGTTCTGAGTGGATTAAATAAAAGTGCGAATTCAGGCCGGTGATGGTAAGAGCTGATGATAAATAGCGTGTCAAGTTTCTCCGCTCCAATGTACTCTGTCTTGCTCAGTTTTAAGCTCGATCTTGTGACTGGTTTAATTTGTCTAATTCTACATAAATATTACATGTCACTGTTGCAACGCTTGAAGATTATCAACTCCATGAACCTGTCAAATCATAGTTTATTTTCCATTCAGTTGACTATTCGACTCTATAAAACTTATTGTCATCTTTATTAATATGAGATTCAGATACAATTGCACGGTATATATTTTCACGTCTAACAATACCATATCATGCTATTTTCCAGCAAGACATGATAAGATGGAATATTGTTCTTCTTCTCAGTCTCTTAACAGCAGTATCATCCACACCTTATCCGGACTGTTCGGACCCGTCTACTTACAGCAGCTACGGTAAAAGTACGGAGTATAAAGGAGTAAACAGTAGCACTGCCTGGGACCGCACGCTAAATACAGGCGACACCTGTGACTTCTCTCCACTGGTGCCCTCGGTGCTACCTCTCACTTGCGGAGACTGTGATTTTGATCTGGAAGATGAAACATGGTACAGATTTGATCAAGGTCCCCACGTGCAGATAAAAGAATATTCAGATAAAACATCTTGTCCAGGTAGAGGCCACTGTAACGGGTATTATCAGATAGCTCTAGTTTCAAGTGACATTCCTAGTGGCAACAACCAGAGTAACATGTATCATATCGTTTTCAGCGATCCTACATCACAGACAGATTGTACAGCAGCACCTGACAATTTTATGGCTGAAAAATTCTACTGTGATGACTTTGTCGTATACAAATTTCCAGTCGGCTGGAAAAGCTCAATCATAAGTTGCACAAACACAAAAGATGACAAAGGAAAGATAGCACCAACTCCATACAGTCTCTGTATGGAGGACACAGTTATTGAACTGACTTTGACAGCCAACAGAAGGTATTTCACGGAGAATGCTCCCTTGATTTGTAGTAGTACCCGGTCTCCGACACTCCCTAAGATCACTTGGACTGACCAGGATAACCAGGACATCACCTCCCTGGCTACACGGGACACTGCTAACAGTAGTTTATTCACTGCAGTCTACAGTCTGAACTCCTCCGCTTCTTACACTCAGGTTACCTGTCAGGTGGAGGACAAATCCCACATTTTCTACCAGGTCTCTCTTAAGGCTAGTAACGTCACCGGGGTGGCAGGTAAAGAAGTGTCTGCTACATGCAAAGTCACATTTGATACGTTTTCTTCTGAAAACGAAGAAAATTTGTATCTTATCGAAGTGCTGAGTGGTTCGGAAGTGTACTACACGTCTGAGAACATCACCACAAAAGGTAACAAGATGGTGGTAGATAAAGAAGGTTCTGGAACTTACAGAGTAACCTTGATCCTCTCAAACACGGCGCTATCAAATAATGTTTGGAACAAGACAGAAAACTGGAGATGTGGAGTTAGGGACCCTATCATTAAGATCTACACAACAGTTCCTTTCACCATAACCACTAAGAAACCCCCCTCCCTTGAGGCTAATAACGTCACTGGGTTGGCAGGTAAAGAAGTTTCTGCTACCTGCAAAGTCACATTTGAAATGTTTTCTTCTGAAAACGAAGAAAACTTGTATCTTATTGATGATTCAAGAGTCTACTATACATCTCAGAACATCACCACCAAAGGTGACAAGATGGTGATAGATAAAGAAGGTTCTGGAACCTACAGAGTAACCTTGATCCTCTCGAAAACTACAACATCATCAATTAATGTTCGGAGCGAGACAGAAAACTGGAGATGTGGAGTTAGGGACCCTATCACTGAGATCTACACAACAGTTCCTTTCACCATAACCATTAACAGAGATTGTACATCAGGAACAGGGTTCATAACTTCAGACTCAATGGAGTGCAAGCAATGTCCAGAGAACACCTTCTCAAACCAGAACATCTGTGAAGATTGTCCAGAAGGAGAGATCTCTAACGCAGGGGCTGACTTGTGTAGGGACGACACCAGCAGAGAGGCGTTGTATTATGCTCTGGCAGGGGTGGGATGTGCTCTCCTCGTCATCTTAGCTCTGATGATAGCTGCTCTCATCTGGAATAGGCGGAGAGAGGAGAGCAATAACATCGTTATAACCAACCCTAGCAACAACCCTAGCAACGATAACTCTAGATCTACAAACAAGAATTCAACCGTGTGATTCCCAATATTTGTCACTCTAACCGAACTGAATCATATCATTCGTTAAGATGTAATTATTTAAAGAAGTGAATCAGATTTTATGAAACTATTGACCTTGAAACGATAAGATTGACAGACTAATTAGATTTTTGATAATTAAGATTTAATGCTTTTCAGATTTTTATATCTTCTCTGTTATGTATTTATAAACAGAATTTTGGCATAAAACGCTGGCCACAATCTTTATAAAAGATGTGTATAGTTTTTTCAAGTTCGCTTGTCGATATGAAGCCGTCAAAAAGTTACAAAAAGATGATCTATACATAATTAAATACAGCTGAAAAGACACCTAAGGCATAAAACCTCGATTTGTGTTAATCGGTATAACTATTTATGATGAATGAAAGATAATCCAACTCTAGTCCAAGGCCAAATTTAGACGGAACGGTTCCTCCTAGTTAGAAATAGAAGTTGTTCAATTCATTTCCAGTAAGCAATATGCATGTGACGATTCATTTCAATTATTATTTGCAATTTATCTCGATTACTTTTTATTTTATCAATAATTGGGGTCCGTTACCTTATTTATCGTCTTAGGCAGAAGATCCCACAGTTTTGCGTCTCCTTCTAAGCTAAAATAAAACCCCAAAATAGGTTCTACCGCTGACCACACCATTAGGGGTCGTTCACATATTACGTAATCAGCTGAGGGGGGGGGGGGAGGTTTCCAAATAATTACGCTAGTGTAATTTTGGCACAATAGCTATGTGTAAAATTGATTACGGAGGGGGGGGGGGAATGTTCCAAAAAATGATTACGTAGTATGTGAACGACCCCTTAAGTTATTTTTCTGCAATGGCTCGGACAAGCTGTCGAAGCTGACTGAGAATATGCTGAAAACTTGTGTACCCAGTACATAGGTAGGTGTATTCTGTTGGTAGGTGCGATTCCTCCACTTTAGGATCTTTCGTAAATTTTGTGAGCATAAGTCTCAAAACTAAAATGTAGGTATTCTTTCGGAATATCCCTGCACTATAGTACTATACTGGGGTTTCGCCCAGTTCATCGTCCATGACAGTGTGGACTGTCATGAAAATCTCTCATTATAAACCACGCGGTATTGACTGCGCGTGTCATATGCGCGTAAGTTTTCTACTCTTATGAAACAAAGCGTCTGACTGACATGTACATGTTCTTCAGGACCGGCCCATTACCACCAATATGAACAAATTTAAGGGTATACTATTTAGACGCTGATTCCGTATTAACCTTGAGAGGGAGAGGGAGAGGGAGAGGGAGAGGGAGAAGGAGAGGGAGAGGGAGAGGGAGAGGGAGAGGGAGAGGGAGAGGGAGAGGGAGAGGGAGAGGGAGAGGGAGAGGGAGAGGGAGAGGGAGAGGGAGAGGGAGAGGGAGAGGGAGAGGGAGAGGGAGAGGGAGAGGGAGAGGGAGAGGGAGAGGGAGAGGGAGAGGGAGAGGGAGAGGGAGAGGGAGAGGGAGAGGGAGAGGGAGAGGGAGAGGGAGAGGGAGAGGGAGAGGGAGAGGGAGAGGGAGAGGGAGAGGGAGAGGGAGAGGGAGAGGGAGAGGGAGAGGGAGAGGGAGAGGGAGAGGGAGAGGGAGAGGGAGAGGGAGAGGGAGAGGGAGAGGGAGAGGGAGAGGGAGAGGGAGAGGGAGAGGGAGAGGGAGAGGGACGATAACTATTTTTGACATCCTTGCTCTTCTCATTTGTTCATTCAAAACGCAAGACGAAACTAATACCATCACTAATACATTTTATATATACTGGTACCCGATAGTACTATCTATTCCTATTGAAATCTTATTAAGTAAAAACAGAAGTTCAGTGAACGAACGTTAAACAATACAGTTTCCAAATTATTTTACAATAAAATATGAATAATAAACTCACTCGACTCAAAATATGCATTCTTTGTAACGATTCAAAGCTTTTAAATACCAAATCGGTGCCCAATTTAAGATAATTTTAAAAAAGGTCTTGCAGTGTAGCTGATGCGTTAATTAGAAATTCTATATTAGCATATTATTACAGTAAAACCAAAAATATAAATAAACTAGGTACTTCATATCCAGAAATAAACAAAAATTAGCCCTAAAGTTTTCTTGGAAATTCAAAAGGAGACATCATGCTAGCTTGTATCTAAAATAAATTACCAAAGAAGGAAATATTATAGATTTAGTCCTGAAGTTTACGTAACTAGTTTCAGAACCTCTGTAACCATGGCACCAACACCGTCATGTATTTCATGTAGATCAGTCTCACACATAAAGGCTGCAGTAGTAACAACCTGCAACATTCATACTTAGTAAATCTAACAATGTTTAACCTTGGTTAGTAACAACCTGCAACATTCATACTTAGTAAATCTAACAATGATTAACCTTGGTTAGTAACAACCTGCAACATTCATACTTAGTAAATCTAACAATGTTTAACCTTGGTTAATAACAACCTGCAACATTCATACTTACCTTACTCGGGAATATTATAGCGGGTTAATTTATGACTGGGAAAATTAATGACCGGGAAAAATATGGCGGACTTTCCCAAAACCCGCCAAATTATCCCGGTCATGTATTTACCGGTGGCCGACATTTCAAGTTTTTTTTCAGAGGTCAATAAATTTTCAACCGAAATTCTGTTTTTGTTACTTGTTAAAGAAGTTATTTCAATTTACAGTTATTGATATTTCTCAGAAATAGAAAAATAGACACGTCTATTTAAAGGAAAATAAATGTAAGCAATAATAAGTCAAATCTTCATTAAAGCGTATTCTCATTCTCATTATCGCTAATGTCCCCTGCACTGATTATGATAGAGCGCTAATAATCATTTTTAAAAATAAATTGTGTACATATACAACATTTTTCATTTGACGAGAGGATGACATCATATAACATATAAATTGTTTTCTTCTCTACGATTCACTGATTCATGGGCAAGAGAAGTGAGAATCACGGTCCACCCTTAAATCTGATTTCTATAACCAAATTGTAATTTTTATAACGAAATTATGGTAGCAACCACCAATAAAGTTACAGCCCTCCATCCACTGCTTCAAAAGTCTTCTCTAGCACATATGAGACTTCAGGTAAAATATGATGATCACCACCCTCTTGGAACCCCATAATCTGAGTCGGCGGGTTTTTTTATGACTGGTAAAATTTTTGACCGGGAAAAATATGGCGGAATCTCCCAAAACCCACCACTTTATCCCGGTTATAATATTCCCGAGTAAGGTAGTAAATCTAACAATTTTAACCTTGTTTTTAGAGTCGACGTGGGCCTCTGAGACGTCTGTTACAACATGTTTCCCACCCATAGCATCAATAGCAGCAGCAGTTCCAGCGTATGGCCACTTATCTGTCCCTTCCTGATCACTCCCTGAAGTGGAGAGTGAAATAGCGGGGTAATGTTACCATAGTAACAATACCGTAAGGTCATGTTTCCAGGTATGAATTTCCTACAAGGGTAGAGATCTGAATTTTACCATGAGTTTCATTTATGACTCTTCTAGTAGGCGGAACTGAGTTGATTTCTTGTTGACTGGTCGAGTAGCTTGGTCAAACATAGATTCTCAAAAAGTTTCGTAAAATGCTGTCAATTGCAAATTATCGCAAAAAAAAACAACTTGTGTCAAAATTTCGAGTAAATTTTAGGATATGTTGGGAACGTGGTTGGATTGAGCAAAATCAACTTTGAAATCTTGGTAGCAATTTAAGACAGCAAAAGTATCCATAGATCAGAAAATATTGAGAACCTTCCCCGAATCATTTCCATTGTATTGCAAAAAAAGAGTGACAGCCCACAACTATTGCGATTCACAAATGTTTAGGAGTAATCCAAAGGAAATATCCACCACACTGCCAAACAACTGCAGGGGCCTGGTTGGTTGGGAACACACGAACAAAGTTTTTTGGTATGTCATGATGAGTACCTTTATTGATTTCTCTTCCAATCAGTGGCATAACGTTGCTTCCAATGACTAATCGTTAAATATTCTTTTAGATTTTCGGAGTCCTGTTAAGCCTTAAGGAAATTAGTCGATCCCATCCATTTGTTTGGGTAACCTTCTCCCTGGTATCTGATCAACTGTAAATCTTAATTTTGTGAAACGATGCAGCAATACATCTTTCACGAAGTCGCACATTGCACCTTTGTAGTCAGCTTGTAGATAGCTGATCACCCGTTTAACTGATCAGGTGATGCACTAATCAGCTGAGAGCAATGAGTATTTAACAGTTGACACCCTTCAGCCCCTGTACATTATAAATTATGTTCTCAAATCGTTCTTACAACTGATCACTTGGTCGCCGTTTTTGGACACTGAATAATATGCTACACTCACCTACGGTCAGCTCGACACCAGGGATAAGTTTAGCAGCTAATACAGGTGCAATACAGCACAGTCCAATAGGTTTCCCAGCAGAGTGGAAAGCAGCTATCTTGTCGCTGACAGTAAGGTCCACTGTCATGTCCACTCCTTGTGTGGCGAAACTGCTCAGGTTCTTAGCGGCACCAAACCCACCTGACAAACATATCCTGCTCAATAAATAGATAGACATTAGAATTTAGATTATCAGCATTGAGTAATGAGCAGGCTATATATTTTCAAAGCAACAATAACAGAAAACGGGAGGCCGACATCCCTGTGGGGATCAGATCATGTTACCAATCAGTGACGATAAATAAGTAAATCTGTGATCCATGATTGAACTAGAAGTAGGGAAAAGTTCACATGACAACTCTGTACATACTAGCTATATGTAAGATGTAAACATAATCTCTAAGATTTTTGTTCTAATCATGGATCAGTATTTAGTATTCAGAATGAAAAATTGTCCATTTACTTGTTAACTGTTAAATTATCACATTGAATTACTAATTATACTAGTTAAAGAGCAATACAAAGTTGTCTGGAATTCTAGTTGATTGGTTATTACGTGTCAGTGATTGGTCTGCTTGTTAACTGGAATAGCAGATTCCACTATTATATTTAATATTTATATCTGTATCTCCTTAGTAGGGTGTTTTATTAACAGTATTACGATCTGATTTGCAGCATCCTTTATAGCATTATCTATAGTTTCTTATAGGGCTTATTATATAATTTACTCAAATAATTACCGATGGAGTGCTGTATAAAATTTGACTTTATTTATTGAATTGTTCAGGTTATTGAATCTTAGGGGGCCAAGTTTCTGGCAGCCCAGAAAACAAGCTCAATAAGGTTTACCAGGTACAAAACAAGCTCACTAAGGTTTACCAGGTACAAAACAAGCTCACTAAGGTTTACCAGGTACAAAACAAGCTCATTAAGGTTTATCAGGTACAAAACAAGCTCACTAAGGTTTACCAGGTATGAAACAAGCTCAATAAGGTTTACCAGGTACAAAACAAGCTCACTAAGGTTTACCAGGTACAATGAGCGCATCAAAGTCTCCAACATTCAGTTCCGTGAGAGCACTGATTTTACCACGTGCAATTCTTGCTGACTCCTTCAACACATTTCGTGTCTCCGACATCTCTGTTCCAGCAGTGTGATCTACCACATGCATTTGATCCTGTGACAAAGTAGGTCTGTGTGGTTGTAACATGTATTTATTTGCTAATACAAAAATATAGCAGGCCTGTGAGACTATAATAACATAAGTACATTTGGTCATGCGAAAATACAGCAGGTCTGTGACAAACCTTATCGGGAGCAAAGCAGGAAGCCAGAGCCCCCTGTCTGCTGAGGTGTGTCAATACTGCACTACTCTCATGAACCTCAGTTCCATCGTACACCCCACACCCAGACAGCAATACTGCTACTTTGGTACTCATAGTTCTTGCACACGAGTTCAATCTTGTTACTATCATTTGCTGGGTTGGGGGGTTAGTCAGTATATCAACAAACAAATAAAGCTAATTATAAATAGCTAAATAATAATAATAATAATAATACCGATTGCCAAGGTTTGATGCCCAGGCAGTCGAGACCTCTTATTGAGACCCGATATAATAATAAATTAATTTTATTTTTATACAACACCAAAAGGTTAAATAATTTTAATTTAACCCTTGTGCTCAGCTGTAAATGATACCTAATTGACAGTGGAGATTGTGCATCTTGCCTTGGACTGGGGTGAAACTATTAGGAAAACAGAAGTTTATAACTGCAAATTAAATCCTGACTAAATAAGGCAGATGCACCTAACAAGAAGATATCCCAGAAAGGTTAACAGGTTTTCTAACAAAGGACTTGAAAAATGGATGATGACCACAAGAGATCTTAGTATGAAACTCATCAGCCTATCAAAATAATAGACAAGATAATAAAAATGAAAATCCCTAAAATATTAAAATTTCTATAAAAATTCTATAGAACTCCAAATATACAAATAATCTGAATAGGTACTCCAATATACAATAAAAAATGATTGAAACATTTTACTGCTGATGATAAAAGTTATTTATGAAAATCCAATACAGTCATACCAAACTATCTGGGCAACATACAAGTAGAGACTGAGAAATAAACAGAGTGGAAAAATATGCTCTAGTACTTGAGACAGAATACAAAAGAATAAGGCAGCGTTCTCCCGGGTGCCAACCCAAAAGATGTTGGTGTCCAAGGATAGAGCCTCCTTTTCTGACCTGCATTACAATTTTGGTGGCAGACACAGTGAAACGCAAAAAAGAATATATATATTATAAAATTAGTGTTCTCAGAAATGCTAAAACGACTCCATATATCCAACCATTTATCCAAATGATTAGAATATTCAATCATCAATTTTAACTTGTAATATGCAAATGAATGTGCACCAATTCCTCTGCAGCAGTTTTTGAAATTGACTTTTACAATTGCAAAAGCTCTTGATAGAGCTGAATGGAAGTCATTTGAGAATATTTAGTTTATCTTTTGAGGATCTTTAATTTTTGAGACAGCTACCCAAAAGTCCATATGAGACACGAGTGCGCGGCTCCCCCTATAGTGAAACGACAGTGGCGGTCACGACGTGATACAAGTTATTTTGATGTTTTTTGACATTTTGGGCACAACAAATTTATCGGTATTTTTAGAAAAACTGTGACCAGGGCTTATTCAAATTACTCCGCATTCGAGCTAGCTGACCTCGTCAATACTCTGGTGAGGATCTCAAATAGTTTCAAGGCATGATGTGTTCATCAGCCATGCAATTTGTTTATGTTAGTTTATCATTAGTTTCAAGTTGGAAATAAGGTGGCGGGATGCTTTATATTTGCTATTTATCAAGGAAATAGTGCAGTGCACAGGGGGGGGGCTGAAACCAGGTTTTCGATCAAACTCTGCCATTTGTAGTCAAACGTTGCCAACAGTTGCTCTCGTCCTATGAAATCACTGCATTTTGCAAGTCATTATGAAATGAAATGAAATAAAGCATTTTTATCCCGCTTATATCAACAATCCAAATAAAAATAAAGATTGCCTATGTCAACGCGGCTGGCCTATGAATATACCCCAAACTAAGATAATCAGTTAATGAGTATGACATTTTTATGTGAGACAATTTTGAAAAACTTAACTGAGGTACTAGCAAAACTGCGCGTTTTGCTCTAGAAAGATAAGCTTTTCCTAGAGATTTTACTGGCGTATCCTCTAAAATCACCTAATTTTTTTCAATTTTGGGGAGGGGCGCCAACAGGGGAGGGGGCGCCAACAGGGGGTGCATTTTCGGGGGGGCGTCAACACGCTATGTTACGCCACTGCAATAGTGATTAAGATTTGAGACTACCATTAGTTTGATTACATTTATCAAATATACTTCTGAGGCCTAAAAGAAAACAGGCATTCCTATTTAGTGAACTAAAGACTTAACAAAAGAGGTTTTTGAATTCTAACCTGATTTTATTACGCTTATTGTCATGGTTTATATATTTTAGAATAAGTGTCTCATTTAATAATAAGTGTCTTCATCATATATATTACAAGTGTCTAACCTTATAACTGGACAATAACTATTGCTGAAATTATTTGCTTTTATTGTTTGTAATGTATTTGATATGAAAAATGAATTGTCAAACATTTTAATTTTGTATTTTTTAAATTTTGTTTTCCTAATTGTAAAAAACCAAAAAATCGTGTGTTTTTATGTACGGTTTTTATGTTTTAAATGTTTAAATGTTCATGTTTATAAACATTGAAAACGAATTGATTTAGGCTTTACTTCGACGTGTCAAGTACACAATTATCATACTTTAATATTTTAAAGCTTTTTTACAACATATTGCTTGTCTCACATTGTAGGCCCACCGCGCATGTGTGCCCAGCCATATCGTGGCTTTCGCCCGCGCCCCGATAAATGAAATGAAAGCAAGCGCAATGGCTTTGAATAAAGCAATCGTTAATCCCTCTCCACAAAAAAGGTTGTTCACATGATATTTGTGATCCTAATTCGTGGTCAAACGTCGCCAAAAGCAATTAACCTCATGACACGGTTGCTTTTGTCCAATTGCATAAACTATAATATGAATGAAATTTCTGCATTATGTAAAACGTTGTTATACATTGTATGACCCGCCGCGCACGAGTGTGCGGCTCCCCTTGTATCGTACAAACGACTAAGTGAAACGACAATGGGGGTCACGCTGTGATACAACGTAAGTCAAGCGCTGCATACGAATATATTTAATTTAATTATGCATAATGACTTACAAAATACAGCGATTTCATGCTCTTACTTGGATCAGATTGTTGGGAGAAATAAAATGTTGTTTCTAAGGATTGTAATGGTACAAAGGTATTGTAATGGTCTATAAAGCCCCTGATATTCGCCAAAGATGGTTCCTCTATATATTGTATATAGTCAATCGTAGGAGATTGTTTTAAAGTTTTAATCTCCTTAAATTATTTGGGTCAAGCGCGGTGCCGCGCCTAAGCACAAAGCAGCTAGCAGCAAAAGAGGTTTAAATGAATTCTTTTAACATAATCTGTTCTGCCAATCAGTTCTGACTGTTGATATTATTTAAATTTGATAAAATTTGTTTTTGATGTAAAGTTTTTAATATGACATGATATCATTATTCATTGTAATGGCAATAAAATTTAAATTTTGTTTTACTTAAAATTTTGTTTTTTTTTTATTTACTATGCTTATAATATGTAATGTATAGTATTAGGTAATGAGCCCAATTTTTACGTGGCATGCTTAGTCTACTGATGTGTATAAAACATGAGTATAGCTTATTTTAACTTACAATTTCTTGAATTACAGATACGTTAAGATACGTTAAATAAGTTAAGTTATATAGCAATTGAATCGAATTTCAAGTGTTTCCCTAGTTAAAGCATAATTTATCAATATTTTTATTATAAAGTGAGCTGATTAGAGCTTATACTTATCAATAAAACAAGAAATTTCAATGAAACAAGAAATTTAATTTTAGCAACATTTTACAGAATAAAAAGATGTAAAACAATTCATAAAATATAATGCCCATTTGTGTGATTTTTGTTGATGTCCGAGCTCTTATATTCATCTTTAGTTAATGGTAAACTTTCTGTGATTGGACTCGGTATTTTCGTCCCGGCCGAGTGGGACGATGCTTGCTCGCCAGTTAAGCTATACTGTAGATAACACTAATTTCTACAAACCACAGAATATTAAATATAAAATATGTGTAGAGTAATGGTGCAAATGCATAATTTGATAATTTCTCGACGCCGTCGTCGGGGTGAAAGTTATCTGAACCAACTGCATGCCCCTACGATTGCGTCACCACTGGTGAGCAAGCATTTGTTTGTTGTTTAGTTGTGTTGAAAGGGAATATTACTTGATTAATTCATCCATTCGGATTTTAATAACGATGAGCTATGATATACCGTTCATCTTAGATTATTGGATCAATTTTATTATATGATAAGATTTTATAAACGAACTTGGTTGCAGAGGTTGGCTAGCTCTTCTATAATAAATACGACACTCCAATTTACAGAATGCTTGCTAGAGATAAAACAAAATATTATCAGACTATACATGCAGTAACTGGTGGATAAGCCTTTGGTGAAAACGGATCCGGAAAAGTCAATGCAGCACTCGGGTCCTTGGTATTGTCGTCGGTATATTGTCCATTATCTACGTTCTGCTTTCATAGTTTAAACAATAGTGAGTTCTAAATATACAACTTTAAACCGATTAAGTATGAATGAATGAAATACCTGACAATCCGTACTCCTATAATTCAAAAGCATGAGTAACTCGTAGTGATGTATGATTTCTAGAAACTTTAAATTAAATTTGGCGTTCACAGGTCCTCGTAGTTTCTCTCCATTTTTAGAAATTAACCCTTATTAAGGGGGCCGGGGGGGTCTTCATCAAAATTCTCTCGAAATTTACCTTTGTAGCTGTTTCTGATGAAGGGGAGTGATATCTATCAGCTGTTTTTGGTCCCGTTTCTTTTTTTTTGGTTCCCCCAAATTATTGCCGGTCAAAGGTCAATTTTAAGATAGGCCTTAGAAATTTTTTTATTCGATTTCGAAAATCTTGGACCTCGTATTTTGACGATTTTTTCAGGTCCAAGATTTCCAAAATTGAATAAAAAAATTTCTAAGGCCTATCTCAAAATTCTGGCTTGACAATCTCTTCTAAATGGTCCTTAGAACATATCCTGAAAGTGTCAGGGTGATTGCTCAAAAAATGTAGGAGAAGATAGATTTTTAGACTCGATTTTCAGGGCGCGATTGAAAATCGCTCGCGCAATACAATTACACATGAGCGCTGACCTTTGACCGGCAATAATTTCGGCTAGGAACAATATTTTTCCATGGGACCAAAAACAGCTGATAGATATCACTCCCCTTCATCAGAAACAACTACAAAGTCAATTTCGAGAGAATTTTGATGGAGACCCCCCCCCCCCCCCCCCCCGGCCCCCTTAACTCCGCACCACACCTGCCTATTATATTTGAAAACATGCATTACATTGTCGTATGAAAGTAAACAAACAGACCGCAATGAGTGGCTCCCCCCCCCCCCTAATAAGCTTACAGTATTGCTTGCAACTAACCTAATTATGACTTATGTACCAACGACTACCAACGCCTTAGTGTAACCCGTGCCTACGGCCGGGACTTCACTATCGCAGTTGAATAGGTGGTATACACCCGCCTATTATATTTGAAAACACTCATAAAATTGTCGTATGAAAGTATGAACTCTCTCTACAGTAAAACAAAGTATTTTATTTATTAGCAGTGCAATCAATTCATATGATATAATTATAAGGATATAATAGTACGTATGTCACACCTATTTAACTGTTACGTTTGAGTAGTCGTGCCATGGCTAAATCTAACCAAGACCAGTTGTGTCGATTAACATTTAATAGGTGAGTCTAAGTGACACAAATGGAAAATTTTAAGAAAAGACGGATCAAAACACAGATCCAAGGACAAGGAGACCCCACTGCAGGACCATACATGCTATCGGCTTGTGCATGGCCCAAAAGATTCCTGTTGTCCAGGAAACTGTACGTAGCTGGTCAACTAGTTTTGAATTCAGACTAGGCTTGATGAGTTCTGGGGTTTCTAGAAGTAAGAGTCCAAACAGACCGTAATCAGTGCCCTCCACCCCTAATAAGCTTATAGTATTAGATGACAGTGAATATCGAGGCTAACTTAATTATGAGTTATGTACCCTCGCTGCCTATGCAGTAATGGGAGAGAGAGCGAGGAGGGAGAAAAAGAGAGCCATTTTATGTCACATTTGTGGTACAAAACCATCAATTAAACCACTTACCACCGACCGATTTAAAAACCTTTTTCATTTGGCTTTGTAAGAGTTTTCTCGGCACTATACCAAAAAACCAGTCCTGTAACTCTTACCGTTTTCTTGATTAAGCTGCTCGGAAATTACATGCGCACAGACAGACAGACAGACAGACACACACACATTCTGAGATTATTGTTTAAGATTGTAACACTCCTTGTTCAGAAAACATCTTAAATCAAATTTTAGATTGGGACCCCTGGCCCCCAGCACCTTTACAAGTAGTATTTATGAATTCTTCAAATTCATTATAAGTACATTATTCAAATATTATTCAAATTCATTATAAGTACTTAAAAGTTATTTTTTAGACTATGATTATGTAAAAAGAATGTGATTCACACTTATGAGTCTAAAAGAGGTGACATCAAATAATGTCTGAGACACAAAGCATGCCGAAGATGTCTGTGCTAAGTGGAAGAATGTCCCACTTGTGCACTGTCATAGGATCCCACATGTTCATGGTTGGAGGATATCACAAAGGGGAAGGAGAGGAGCGTTTCAAAGACAGGGACATCTCCGTTCACTTGTCTGATATCAACATTTACTCTATCAGAGATGTATAAATATTTTATAGAATATTATTTTTTTAAAGTAACGCTATGAATCTGTTATTAAGCTCAGTAAACTTCAAGATAAAACATAAATTTGAGCTGAAATACTATGGGCTATGATTTAAAATTATCTTTTTCTTTGTTGGCAATGTTGTGATTTAATGTCATTACTCATCACAATAACTACCAGGCTACTTGGAGGAAAGTAAAGGCAAGTGGAGATGTCCCAAACCGTGGAAGCGGAATGTGCATGGCAGGCAGCAAGAAGTGTATTTATGCTTTTGGGGGACTCATTATCAATGACTCTGGAATGTAAGTAAGGGTTTTCTAAATTAATAGGTTATCAATTGATTGAATATCAATTCAGAGTTCTACTTCAAAATTCATTTACTTTGATTAATCCAATTGCAATGGGCTTTCCTTAAGTAACATATAATTCCATCAGGCGAGAGTTTTCAAATACACTGCACGAGTTGAACACTGAGACAATGACTTGGAGACTACTGAAACCTGTGTCAGGGTCCAGTCCTCCTGGTATTACAGACAGGCCGAGCATCAGAGACAAGGCTGCTATGGTTTACTACAATGGTGCTTTGTGGGTCTTTGCTGGGTGGGGCACTAGAATCGACAGAACGCAGCATAACAGTCGAGTTAGCAATATTTTCACTTTGAAATATAAGTTGCATATCTGATGTATTTATTGTAAGGAAATTACTGACTGAAATGCATAACTGAATTTTCACTACTATATACTATATATTATATACAGTATATATACAGGGTGGGCCAAAAGTCAGTACCCATACGTTGGCCTTAATAGCTCCGCCGTGTTTTATATTTGAGAGCTGTTGCTTTGCAGATGGCATACTGTACTTACTGGTTCGAGGATTCCGTCGTCAAAATTTGAAAATTCGAATATTTTAGACCACGCCCATTCAATATTAAAACACCTATATTGTTTTCTCTGAACATGCTGAACGCCTAATTTTTTCAGAGACGGTAGATTATTAAATGTTGCATATGATCTGAAAACATGAGGTAAAACGGATTAGAAATGACGAAGTTATCAAGCATTTTCTGTATCTCGTTAACAATATTGACTGGGTGATTATGTGACACCGTGACACGACACCTTAATTGGGCACCCTTAACAATTCCCATAATGTTTAACGGGGTAGTTAACGGGGGCACCTTATCACGTGATTAGGTAAACCAATCACCTGATCACACGTAATGAATAAACTCGTTATGCTTCATATCTCGGTCATCTGAGAAGCTACAGTTCTAATTCTTTCAGGACAAACGTAATTCGAATGGCCAAACACAATTCAATAACATTTAGCTTGATCCGACTATCCAAACTATCAAATGAATGTGAAAATGAACCTCCATTTGAAAAAAATGAACGCGAATATTTTTCGAGTTGACAAATTCCTCGAACCAGTGGTGGTACTAAGTCATACCAGAAAGAAGTATTTAAATTGGGCACTCAGTGACTGAGCTATAAAGGCCAACGTATGGGTACTGACTTTTGGCCCACCCTGTAGTAATGAAAATTCAGTTAAGCATTTCAGTGACTATATATATAATATATAGTCTTCTTAAAATACAGAGTGTTCTTATTGTTGGAACTTTCATTACTAATATGGTAATGTGGATCACAGTTATAACTTAAGTGTATAATATATGTATGATGTCACATGTCTAATATGTTACACCCATCTCAGTTTGTTCCCGACATGTCACACGAGTTTGTAGGCTGGAATAATGAGTTGTGGAGATTTGATCTGAAGACAATGAAGTGGAACTCTCCTCAGTGTACGGGAACTGCCCCCTCGCCACGCGCTGCTCACACCCTCACGATGTACTCTGATAACAGGTAATCACACTCTCACGATGTACTCTGATAACAGGTAATCACACTATCAATATGTACTCTGATAACAGGTAATCACACCCTCACGATGTACTCTGATAACAGGTAATCACACTCTCACGATGTACTCTGATAACAGGTAATCACACTATCAATATGTACTCTGATAACAGGTAATCACACTCTCAATATGTATTCTGATAACAGGTAATCACACTCTCAATATGTACTCTGATAACAGGTAATCACACTCTCAATATGTATTCTGATAACAGGTAATCACACTCTCAATATTAATTCTGAGAACAGGTAATCACACTCTCAATATGTACTCTGATAACAGGTAATCACACTATCAATATACATACTCTGATAACAGGTAATCACACTCTCAATATGTACTCTGATAACAGGTAATCTCACTATCAATATGTACTCTGATAACAGGTAATCACACTATCAATATGTACTCTGATAACAGGTTATCACACTCTCAATATGTACTCTGATAAAAGGTAATCACACTCTCAATATATATTCTGATAACAGGTAATCACACTCTAAATATGTACTCTGATAACAGGTAATCACACTATCAATATACATACTCTGATAACAGGTAATCACACTCTCAATATGTACTCTGATAACAGGTAATCTCACTATCAATATGTACTCTGATAAAAGGTAATCACACTCTCAATATATATTCTGATAACAGGTAATCACACTCTAAATATGTACTCTGATAACAGGTAATCACACTATCAATATACATACTCTGATAACAGGTAATCACACTCTCAATATGTACTCTGATAACAGGTAATCTCACTATCAATATGTACTCTGATAACAGGTAATCACACTATCAATATGTACTCTGATAACAGGTTATCACACTCTCAATATGAACTCTGTTAACAGGTAATCACACTCTCAATATGTACTCTGATAACAGGTAAACACACTCTCAATATGTACTCTGATAACAGGTAATCACACTCTCAATATGTACTCTGTTAACAGGTAATCACACTCTCAATGTGTACTCTGATAACAGGTTATCACACTCTCAATATGAACTCTGTTAACAGGTCATCACACTCTCAATATGTACTCTGTTAACAGGTAATCACACTCTCAATATGTACTCTGATAACAGGTAATCACACTATCAATATGTACTCTGATAACAGGTAATCACACTCTCAATATGAATTCTGATAACAGGTAATCACACTCTCAATATGTACTCTGATAACAGGTAATCTCACTCTCAATATGTACTCTGATAACAGGTAATCACACTATCAATATGTATTCTGATAACAGGTAATCTCACTATCAATATGTACTCTGATAACAGGTAATCACACTATCAATATGTACTCTGATAACAGGTAATCTCACTATCAATATGTACTCTGATAACAGGTAATCACACTATCAATATGTACTCTGATAACAGGTAATCTCACTATCAATATGTACTCTGATAACAGGTAATCTCACTATCAATATGTACTCTGATAACAGGTAATCACACTATCAATATGTACTCTGATAACAGGTAATCTCACTATCAATATGTACTCTGATAACAGGTAATCACACTATCAATATGTACTCTGATAACAGGTAATCACACTATCAATATGTACTCTGATAACAGGTAATCACACTCTCAATATGTATTCTGATAACAGGTAATCACACTATCAATTATATGTACTCTGATAACAGGTTATCACACTCTCAATATGTACTCTGATAACAGGGTAATCCCTCTCTCCAAAATCCACGTTTTTCTGCAAAAAACGACCATTCGTAACCTTTCACTATCGTCTTTTTACAAAAGAGTGCGAATGGAAAAAATTAAGACTATACAATATAATACTAGATACATAATACATATTGTACACATTCTCAAGGTAGATTAGTCCTTAAAAACAGGTTGTCTGTGCGGTTAGCTCAGTATGGCAATGTGTTATTTACTACTACAACTACTACACTGCAGCACTACTTAATATCTACTAGTGTCTCATTGTGTAGACGTCATCTTTCCAACTATGTAGTAAACGGTACACATTGTCATATGTATCAGTTAATGTTTCCTGAGTTACGTAACCATGTGAAACTGTTGCACTCAGGCAATGTTTCCTGAGTTACGTAACCATGTGAAACTGTTGCACTCAGGCAATGTTTCCTGAGTTACGTAACCATGTGAAACTGTTGCACTCAGGCAATGTTTCCTGAGTTACGTAACCATGTGAAACTGTTGCACTCAGGCAATGTTTCCTGAGTTACGTAACCATGTGAAACTGTTGCACTCAGGCAATGTTTTCTGAGTTACGTAACCATGTGAAACTGTTGCACTCAGGCAATGTTTCCTGAGTTACGTAACCATGTGAAACTGTTGCACTCAGGCAATGTTTCCTGAGTTACGTAACCATGTGAAACTGTTGCACTCAGGCAATGTTTCCTGAGTTACGTAACCATGTGAAACTGTTGCACTCAGGCAATGTTTTCTGAATTAAGTAACCATGTGAAACTGTTGCACTCAGGCAATGTTTCCTGAGTTACGTAACCATGTGAAACTGTTGCACTCAGGCAATGTTTCCTGAGTTACGTAACCATGTGAAACTGTTGCACTCAGGCAATGTTTTCTGAGTTACGTAACCATGTGAAACTGTTGCACTCAGGCAATGTTTCCTGAGTTACGTAACCATGTGAAACTGTTGCACTCAGGCAATGTTTCCTGAGTTACGTAACCATGTGAAACTGTTGCACTCAGGCAATGTTTCCTGAGTTACGTAACCATGTGAAACTGTTGCACTCAGGCAATGTTTTCTGAATTAAGTAACCATGTGAAACTGTTGCACTCAGGCAATGTTTCCTGAGTTACGTAGCTACACTCTACACCTGTATACCTGTAGCTACACTCTACACCTGTATACCTGTAGCTACACTCTACACCTGTATACCTGTAGCTACACTCTACACCTGTATACCTGTAGCTACACTCTACACCTGTATACCTGTAGCTACACTCTACACCTGTATACCTGTAGCTACACTCTACACCTGTATACCTGTAGCTACACTCTACAGGTACTGTAACGCTAACTAAGTAACCATAGTAACACTGCAGGTATACTACAGGTGGAAGTAGGCTGCTCCCCACTAAGCACACTAGCTTCCTGATTTATTGCTACAACTAAATAATATTATACACACTTAACCGTACAGAAATAGCTCAGGTCAAATGCCGCTATTATATTAGCAGTGCAACTCAGTGTTTGCACTGCCGTGACAGGAATAGAACAACAGCGTGTTCTATAAATACCAGACAGTTTGCATTTTACTAGAGACAGTTCTAGAATAACACCTGACTAACTGATAACAACATGATTTGAGTTTAAACTGGTCTGTAATGTATAACAACAACTTATTGAGTAACTATAGTAACACTACTTATTAAGTAACCATAGTAACACTACTTATTAGTAGTAATCTAACATTAAATGCTCGAGACTAAGTTCATTTCAACAAAGTCATTTACGTAGAGGAAGGCTCCTAGCCCAAAGGGGGTGTTGTTATCAGGACTGTCGCAGGACTGTCGCAGGACTGTCGCAGGACTGTCGCAGGACTGTCGCAGGACTGTCGCAGGACTGTCGCAGGACTGTCGCAGGACTGTCGCAGGACTGTCGCAGGACTGTCGCAGGACTGTCGCAGGACTGTCGTAGGACTGTTGCAGGACTGTCGCAGGACTGTCGCAGGACTGTCGCAGGACTGTCGCAGGACTGTCGCAGGACTGTCGCAGGACTGTCGCAGGACTGTCGCAGGACTGTCGCAGGACTGTCGCAGGACTGTCGCAGGACTGTCGCAGGACTGTCGTAGGACTGTTGCAGGACTGTCGCAGGACTGTCGCAGGACTGTCGCAGGACTGTTGCAGGACTGTCGCAGGACTGTTGCAGTATTGTCGCAGGACTGTTGCAGGACTGTCGCAGGACTGTCGACCTACAATATGTCAGTATAATGTACAATGTACATATAAATTTAATATTTCTCCGTGATCGTATCGGCACACAATGAGTTGACACATCACATGTTAAATTGTACCGGATACTTTAACAATAAACCGTGTATCTTGATACTTATCGCACAGTTATATCATTATCTCACTATTATACATTGTAGTGTACAATTTACAGTGGGACGTACATTTATATTAGGTTATTAGTCAAATTCTTTACGTCAGGTTTTGTTATATTATGATAACTAAATTAATAGACCTGGTTGCTGGTGGAGAGGTTTTTACTTTGAAGTAGGACACTCAGTAGGACACCCCCCGCCCCCCCCCCCCCCCTTAGTCCTGGACCCCCCTCACTAGTCCTGGACCCCCCTCACTAGTCCTGGACCCCCTCACTAGTCCTGGACCCCCTCACTAGTCCTGGACCCCCTCACTAGTCCTGGACCCCCCCCCCTCACTTGTCCTAGACCCCCTCACTAGTCCTTGACCCCCCTCACTAGTCCTGGACCCCCCCTCACTAGTCCTGGACCCCCTCACTAGTCCTGGACCCCCCCTCACTAGTCCTGGACCCCCCTCACTAGTCCTGGACCCCCCCCTCACTTGTCCTAGACCCCCTCACTAGTCCTTGACCCCCCTCACTAGTCCTTGACCCCCCTCACTAGTCCTGGACCCCCCCTCACTAGTCCTGGACCCCCTCACTAGTCCTGGACCCCCCCTCACTAGTCCTTGACCCCCCTCACTAGTCCTGGACCCCCCCTCACTAGTCCTTGACCCCCCTCACTAGTCCTTGACCCCCCTCACTAGTCCTTGACCCCCCTCACTAGTCCTGGACCCCCCCTCACTAGTCCTTGACCCCCCTCACTAGTCCTGGACCCCCCCTCACTAGTCCTGGACCCCCTCACTAGTCCTGGACCCCCCCCTCACTAGTCCTGGACCCCCCTCACTAGTCCTGGACCCCCCCTCACTA